TGTATCCAAAGGCTTAAAACAAGTCCCGTCAAGGACGTTTATTGCTGTCTAGCATGGGCATCTAAGCGTAGCTTACAAGCAGCTCTGCGTATATATGGCCAGGAATATAAATGTGCCTTTTGGAAAGGAAGAGAACCCCAAGGGGGAAAATGTGTGTGTGTGTGTGTGTGTGTGTATTTTATATAATATATAATACACACACACACACACACACATACATACATACATTTATTTATTTATTCCTAATGATGATATCAAACAAGGGCTTAAAGAAGAAGCAATTTCTGGCCTGGTCATGTGACAGAGGTTGCACAGGACTTGGGAGGGTCACACCCTCCCAAGGGATTGTTTTGGGACTTAGGGGGGAAGCTGCCTAAGAGGGGATCTGAGGTGATGTGTCCTGAATAAGAGAAATCTCTCTCTTCCCTAACTTCTGCTGCTTCATTTGGGGGTAAACCAGGATCACCTAACAACTGGGACCTCTCCATTTTTCTACTGAGAGAATTTTTTCCCTCAAATTATTGCTGTCTACATATTATCACTAAGGAAGGTTTTTGGCTGTTCTTATGTCTCTTTACATCATCAGAAGTCTAGAGGCAGGCCGTCCAGGGTTGGTGTAGTAGCTCATGGATATACTCAAATCCAGACTCCTACCATTCTGCCCTGTTGTAATTAATTTGTTGACTTACTGCCTCACAGTTGTAAAATGGATGCTGTAACCCTAGATATCATGTTTTTATTCAAGGCACTAAGAAGTGGGAAAGAGTTGTCAAGACATCCACTGTGTTTGTCACTCATATCAAGAAAAACAAAAGCTTTCCCCAAAGCTCCCAGAGGATGTCCACCAGTGTCTTATTGGCCAGAACTACTTCTCATCCTTACCTGTCCTCCTTAGCTGCAGGGGAGTCTGGGAAAACAAGCTTAGCTTTCCTGCGCTCTGAAGTGGAGGCAGCAAGGGAAATGGGGACTGAAAAATGCTTGTGGGGTTAGCCAACAAACAAGGTCTGCCACAACCAGAGAGAGGGGACTCCTAGAAGAATGTGTTGGGCAAGCACAGGCAGCTTACCTAATAGTGGAGAAGAAGGAAATTCATATGCTTGAGCTTTACCGTGGGCCCAAGACTGTGCCGGGCAGCAGACCCATGTGCATGCATGTCCCAGTTAGCTCTGTTGTACACTGAGCAAGCTAAGCTCTGAGCAGTGTTCTGCGGGTAGTTAGGAACCTGGATTTGAATGCAGGTCCATCTGACTTCGAAGACTATTCATGCTGCCTCTGGGAAGTTGAAGCCTATTTCCTAGCACTGGTTTTTCAGGTGCCTCTCTGGATCTTAGCAACTTCGTTGAGTCTCCAGCACCTTCATTACCCGTAAATGAAGTAGGAATTTGGAACAATTCTTTTATGGGCCCCTCATAAGTTTTACTTATAAGATGAATATTCGGGCTTTTATGTTGTGATGACAGTTAAAAGAGAAGTGACCTGGGGGACAGGAGACCTGGCTCTGCTCCAAAGCTGGTGCTGAGTTGCTCTGTGGTCTTGGGTACATCCTTTCCCCTTGTCTGTGAAATAGAAGGTGGGAGATGCCCTACAAGGAATCTAACAGTCTTAGGACACACGTTTTGCCCCTTTCCCTCATGCGTCTTTCATTTGTTCGTTCATCCAACAATTATTTCTTTTTTTTTTTTTTTAAAGATTTATTTATTTATTTATTTGACAGAGAGAGATCACAAGTAGATGGAGAGGCAGGCAGAGAGAGAGAGAGGGAAGCAGGATCTCTGCCGAGCAGAGAACCCGATGCGGGACTCAATCCCAGGACCCTGAGATCATGACCTGAGCTGAAGGCAGCGGCTTAACCCACTGAGCCACCCAGGTGCCCCCAACAATTATTTCTTAAGTGCCTACTGTGTGCTGGGTGCTGCTCTGGGTACTTGGTATAAACTAGGCAACAAAACAAAGATCCCTGCCCTCATGGATCTTGTGTTATATCCAGTCTGTGTGCGCTGGGGGCCGGGGACACAAACAGTAAATATAACACGGTATAGATTAGGAATGAGTAAATTACACAGATGTGAGAGGGTGATTCATTCTCTGGGGCACAAAAGTGGGAAAGGGGACGGGGTCTGGCAGGGCCTGAGGAGATAGTCAGGGGTCTCCACTGAGAACATGGCATTTGAGCAAAGACTTTACAGAGAGGAGGATGTCAGCCAGCACACAGTTAGGGTCGTGGCCGCAAGCAGAGGGGAGAGCGAGAGCAAGGACTCAGAGCCAAATGTTTGCCTGGATTTTCTGCATGATTTTTCCCCATCTGAGGATTGGCCTGGAGCTCTTCTCTCCTGAGCCCTGTCATTTCGAAGTGTTGGCCTTCAGTTGGCTTTCAGACCCACTCAAACTTCCAGGAGTTGAACGCCACTTAAAGTTGACCCTCCTGTGGCCCTTAGGAACAGAGAGCCTGGCCACCGCCTCTGAATTTGTACCTCATTGCACATGAGAGAAACACTTGATTTCTGGAGATAGAGGGAAAGTGATAGAACCACCAAATCCTAGAGATATTGAGATCCTATCAAAATAGCACAGCCTACCATCTCCAGTCTATTCCTGCTGTGTTTCCTGTTTAATACCTCCTGTACTGTGAGTGACTCAGTGGTTTTTTTTTTCCTTAATTTTTTTTTTTTTTTTGAGAGAGAGAGAGAGAACAAACAGGTGGGAAAGAGGGTTAGAGAGAGAAGGAGAAGCAGATCCCCTGCTGAGCAAGGAGCCCGATGTGGGGCTTGATTTCAGGACCCCAGGATTACAACCCGAGCTGAAGGCAGATGCTCAACCGACTAAGCCGCCCAGGCACCCCTGACTCAGTGTTTCTGTCATGTTGTCAAATGATTATCTGTGTTGATCAACCCTAAAGCCCCAGGTAGGAGAGCGTTGTGTTTTCTGCTTTACCAGTTACTGCTCCTGAGTCAGTGCACTATAGGGGCATGGGCTTTCCCCATTAGCTGCAGTGGGCCTCCCTAAGCAAGGCCAGGAGCCCCCAGGAAACCTCAGTCACTTGCTGGGCTGTGCAAACATGTGTGTATGTGTGTGTGTGTGCATGTGCATGTGCGATGACAACTTTGAATACATCTTGAAATGTAGCAAAGAAAAAGAACAAGAGTTGCCTTCTTGAGTTGTGTTCTAAGCGGAAAGGTGACTTAGGATCTGAGAACAGTGATATCGTGCAGGTGTGTTATTATCCCAAGTCAAACTGAGAACATGTAACATGTGAACTGATTGCTAGGCTCATGAATTAAAAGAATCTCCCCTTAGTCCTTTTAGAGGGTTAGTGTGTGTCCCAGACACCCACTCTAAAGTAGATGACACTTCAGGCAAGAGGCTACACCCCTCCCCTGCAAGAAAGCCCCTGTGGGCATGTGCGGGTCTCCATCGGGATACTGAGCAGAGCTGGGTGTCACTCACAGGGTGCTCAGAAGTTTAGTTGTGGTAAATGGCTCAGCATGGATTTCATAGTCCCTTTTCTAGGTATATCTCCTTTCTTGTGGCCTTGAAATTTGTTTGATGGGAAGAACAAGGAAACTTAACTTTGATCTCTGTAATCTGTGAGAGGTTAGAGGAGAGAATTCAGAATGACATGCAAAATGCAGGATATATTGAAAATGAAAGGAAGGTGAGAGTCTTCATCAGGATTGTAGGCCATTGAACCTAATTTCTCATTGTATGACCTTACCCAGTGTGCAGGGGCATTGAAGCAGCAAGCTTCCTTATCTGGTTTCCCCCTTTTTTGATTTGCTCCCTCCTGTGCAATCCCTAGGGACAACTGAGCCATAGACGCAGAGAGGAGGAGAAGCATGCTATTGCAGACTCAGATTGTACAGGAGGGGGTAATGGCATGAGTCTAGAAAATTCTGACAAGAATGTAAAAGTCGGTCTTACCATAAGAAAGAACTTAAGGGTACAGGCTCTCTGTTTTGCATATTGCCTACTTACAAGATCGAAGATATTGTTCATTCATTCAACAAACATATCAAGCACATGCCTGGCTCTGTCCTGGGCACTGGAGATTATCAGTGAACAGCACCACCCAACAGTTTCCCTGTCCTCATCTTATTTGGTTAAACCGTCTGAAGTTGCTGTCTTCGTAGGTCAAAGACAATCCACTAAGTACACATCTACTATATGATTCAGCCATTCTACTCCTAGGTGTTTACATTAAAGAAATAAAAGCCTATGTCCATACAAAGACTTGTACGTGAACATCCGTAGCTGCTTTATTTGGCATAGCTCAGACTGGAAACACTCCAAATGTCCATCCACAATGGATAAACAAATTGTAGTAGGGATAGCCACGGGATGGAACAGCAGTGGCAGTAAAAGGGAATGAAGTACTCCCACACACTGTCCATTACATTCCAGAGAGAAAGGGAATGATTGAATGTCTGTAAAACTTCAGAAGATGCAAACTAGCCCACAGTGACAGAAAGCAGATCAGCAGTTGCCTCAGAGCGGGAACTGGGTCAGGGGACAGCAAGGGCAGGAGGGGAGATTTCGAAGGAGCAAGTGCAACGTTTTGGGGGTGCTAGGTATATTTAGTGCTGATTGTGGTGATGGTTTCCCAGGGGCAGACGCCTTCACACTTGCCAAATGATACACTTGAAGTATAAGCAGTTAATTCTATGATAATTATACCTGAATAAAGGTGTTAAAAAAAAAAACAGTCAAATCATACCAGTTTCGTATGGTTTGATACACAGATAAATTTTGGTGATCAATTAATTTCTAAAACCTCATATTCATTTTTCATATATTTACTGAAAATCCGCGGTGTGTCAGATCATACCGTGAAAGATGCTATCCACAAAAAGTAAGAAAAAAAAAAGGCCACTTTTAAGCTTCCTAGGTGAAACAGGTCTATAGAGGATTGGCTTTCCTGCAGGGAGTTCTGGAGCCGTTAGCAGCTGAAGCAGCTTCCTCTCGGTCTCCTGCATTTGTGATGTGTGTGCCTTCGTCTCTTTCAGAGTGACCTGTGGTCGTTGGGAATCACCGCTATCGAGATGGCAGAAGGTGCTCCCCGTAAGTACCCTCCTCCGGGTGCGATCTGTCGCGGGGCTGCTGTCCGCGGACCCTGCGCCTTCCCTGCCAGGTGCCCGCGAGGCTTTCCTTCCGCTACGCCGAGCCCGGTGTGGGTTCGAGCCGGCGCGTGGAGCGGGCAAAGTCGTCTTAGCTCCGCCAGGAATCCGTTCGTTTTGGAGCCGCGTGAGGATCTTGTGTCGGGAGGGGAAAGAAGGAAAGGGAAAAGACACTCGGGAATGTGGGTTGACAGATCCCGCGCGTCCTTGATTCTTGATCTGCTCTTTACTCGGAGCAGAGCTGGGGCCGACCCGCAAAGCCCAGGAGCTCCAGCGCAGCACGAATCAGAGCCGGTTCTCAGCGCGCGATTACGCAAACCCTTGTACTCGGGTGCTCTCCCTCCTCACATGATACTGCTGTTCGGATCTTTAGGTGTGAGGCCGAGTGGCCGGGGCTCGGGCCGTCGGGGACCGTCGGAAAGGCCTTGCGCTGTGGCGTGTCGGTGCTGCGGAGCGCCTCCAGCAGCCGCGTGCTGCCCGTGACCTCGGGTTCCGGGGACTTCCCTGCAGGAAGCCGGCTCACCAAGGGTCGGGCTGCTGGTGCGGCCCCCGGGGCCCCGCTCCACCCCACAGCCAGTGTCCTAGCGTGGCAGGGATAGAAGGCAGGCTTTTTTCTCGAAGACACAAACTCTCACCCCTCAGGTCCACCGCTTCCTTTCCTCGGTCTAGCACACACTTCAGCTGCCTTGTCTGCCTCTTGCTTTCACTCCGATCAGACTTGCAGAGCAATGAGACAGGTGTGCCAGCCGGCCCGGCCCCCTCCCCACTGCCTTTCAGGCAGGAATTCTCCCTGGAACTATCTTCTCACGTGGTTAGTGCTGCCTTGGCCTCTGCTTTCCAGAGGACCTGACCCAAAACAGCCCCCTTCTGTGCCTGGCAGGTCATTCTGCTCATAGGGCTGTTTCTCTTCCCATTATCCTAGACTTTGTATTTCTCACTCTAGAGTTGGTAGAATTCATCTGTAGCGTGATTGATTTGGAGTGTCTGTTGACAAAATTCCCTTCATTCGCAATGCTAATAGGCATTTATGAATCAGAAAAATCGTATATTGCAGTCCAAAATATTATTCTCATATTATCATTCTTGATGAGTAGTAGAGGGGGCTAAAAATAAATGTCTACTTCCAGAATCCTTTAATTTTTAAGGAGACTATATTCTTACTCTGGGCAAAAAGGAAAAGAAAGCCCCAGAGGTTTGAGAAGTAAACTAGTGAAATATTTTGATTAAAATAAGAATGCGTGAGTGCTTTCTCTCTAAACCATAATGCTGTGTTTACAGGTTGAGATATTTTAATAACTCTTCTACCAGAGCCTCTTTGCCTTGATCTCTCTGTTCTTCCTGGGGCCAGTGAGCAAACAAACAAACAAACGAACAAAACCCAGAAACGAGCCTGTCATGAAACCTGAAAAGCCATGAGGATATATGGAAATACAGAGAGAAAGGTGTTCTGGTCTAGTGCTTTAGACTCTAAAAAATCTATGCGGATAGCACTGCATGTGTATGAACCTTCAGTGTGTAAGAAATGGCCCATCTAGCTTTCATTTTATGAGTTAGGCTTTTACAAATTAAGAATAACCTACCATCTCCATTGTGGTTGTTACCCTGATACTGTTTGCTCTGAATCTGAGATGGTTATTTATAGCAAAGCAAAGGCTTTGACCCTTTAACTTGGCTTTCTTACATATGAAATAGAAGTAGAAATGTTAACAGTGTACAGTTGATATGCAAATTTTATGAGACTTCTGTGATTCGACATCTGCTCTGTTGAATGTTCAGCACATAGAAGCTTGGCAGTCTTCTGACTTTGCTCACTGGGCCTGTGCGGCCTCAGAGCCGTTCGGTCTGGGTTTGGCATCCTAACCTGAGCTGGCCCTTGCTTTGGTCTCTTGCAGCTCTCTGCGACATGCATCCCATGAGAGCCCTCTTCCTCATCCCCCGGAACCCAGCACCTCGCCTGAAGTCGAAGAAGTGGTGAGTCTGGTCTTCTTCGGGGCTTTGCCGATCCTAGGGCAGGGTCTTCCTGCTATGCTCTCTTGGACGAGCTCAGATCCTTAAGTCCAGCTGCATGATGAGACCAACATATACCGAGACCTGGGGGGTGACTTTCCGTGGGTTATCACTCATCTTAAAGCATGTATTAAGTACCTACTATTTGCGCCACAAGTCTTGATCACCACACCGTCAAGGTGAGGAGCTAGTAGCTAAAGTGAGTCGTGGAACCCAAGTAATAACATGAAAGCTCTTGGATTTATCAGCCACCTAAGAAATAGCTTGCCTGACAGCTCAAGACATCTCATTAGAGAGGGTGAGAGTTCCAAGAGTCAGCCAGCCAGGTTGGCTGGCTTTTCTTCTACTCCTTAACATGGTAATTCCATTCAGTGCATGCACACACCTGGTAACATGAGGGATGATTTCACTGGTCTGTGCATAATTATTTGTAACATTTGTTTTTATTATCACTTTCCCTTTATGGCACATGATACTGGCTTCTTATTTGGGGCAGTGATACAAACTTCCCATTTAATAAAGTTATTCACATCAGAAATTGACCTAATTTAAAGAAAAATACCAAGTGGATACTAGGATGGATGATGGAAGAATCCGGTTAAAAGTTGTGTTGGTAGAGGGGCTCCTGGGTGGCTCAGTTGGTTAAGCATCAGACTCTTGATCTCAGCTCAGGTTTTGATCTCAGGGTCATGAGTTCAAGCCCTGTGTTAAGTTCCAGGCTGGGTGTGGAGCCTACTTAAAAGACAAACAAGCAAACAAAAAATTGTGTTGGTAATATACAACTGACTCGAGTTTGGGAAATACAGTTCTATAGGTTACACCAGAAGTTGCACTTTTGTGTGTACGTGTATCAGTGTCTTTGTACCTTATCACTGCGTAACAAAAATTCATGGCTTCTTTCTTCCCCCTGTGTATATGGTGTATCCTGATACCTCCCAATACATTCTTGAATCTCTGATTGCCCTGGCCTGGGGCCAATTCCTCGACCACTTAGGATCCCCTGTCTTTTTCTAGAGACATATTCTGGGCTGTTAGAGAATGAAGGCTCAAGACCTTTCTGCCCCTTTTCATACTCATGATCACTTCACGATCACCGTGGACTGGGACCGGGACCATTATGTTTCTCCCCTTCCCACCCACAACCTCACCCTCTGCTATACAGAGAGCAGTCTAAATGAAACAGTCACCTGGTAGTGACATAGCAACCCTGGTGAGACAAGAGAAAGGCACACGACACAGGGAAGAGAGGGAACCAGCCAGAGGGGACCGGCAGCCCCGAGTTGCCGAGGCCGGTGGAGGAAGAGCTTGAGGGTTGCTATTGGAAACGAGGAGCCCTGCTCTGTGTGAGCCAATCGTTCTCTCCCCAGCAACAGCCTTCCATCGGGCACCTGTACGGCACATGACCAGCAAGGCCTGGACACCCTGCTTCCTCCCTTCTCCTCAGAACAGGCTCCCTGGGAAAGAATTTGTCTCGGTTCCTTCCTAGGAAGCACCAAAGCCCTCTGCTAGCTTTCTGCTTGTCCTTCGTGCCAAGCCTCTCTGACCCCCATATACACACTGTATACAGTGGGCTTTACTTACCCTGTGCCCTCTCTCCCTTCCCGCTCCCTGCTCTCTGCTGGACAGATGTTTCCAGGGTTCAGCCCGCAGAGGACAAACTGCCATCCACACGTGTGTTACGTTTGGTCAGCACAACATGGCCACATGCCATATCTCGGGAACATTGGTATTAATTACCAACTTTTAGGAATCTGGGTACTGAGCACCACGTTCAGATTTCGGGCCTTTTGTGCAAAGATGAGGCACTACTGCCCGGCTGAGTGGCTCCTGCTTCTTTTAGGGTACCAGGTGACCCTTCTGCCCATTGCCACCTCTCCCGGGCTCTGAAGCTGGAGTCTGTTGGTCACTGCGCTTGTCCTGTTTTCCCCTTATCCTGGGCCTGCACTGCCCTTTGCTTGACCTCTCTGTTCCCTTAGCAGAGTGGATGAACAGCCCCTGCACTGCGGTTTTGGATTTTCATTGACCCCGCTCCCAAAAAGAGCAACTCTGCACTGACCGTGTTTGAGAATAAGGAAAATATAGGCTGACTTTGCTCCTTCTAACCTTAGACAACGGGAAATAATTCTGGTGGTGCTGCCAGGAGCTGAGTCAGTCCAGGGACAGTGAGGAGCCCAGGCCTCCATCTCACCCAGCCTCCCTGGCTCCGAAGGAGAGCCAGTTAGGAGTGTGAGTGCTGCGCGGCCAGACAGAGGGGAAATGACTTGGCTGTTTGAGAGAGTGAGTGGGAAAACAGAAGCCCTGGTGAAAGACTCTTTCTCACTCAGAACCTGGCCTTTATAAGATGGCCATGCAGCCCATCCACTCCGCCGCACCCCCACCCCCCCAATCCTTGCACTCCCTGCCCCGGGCCATAGGAAACAGGATGTGGCTCCCAATTCTCTTCAATAGAATTCTACTTTTTTTTTTTTTTAAGATTTTTTTTTTTTTTATTTGATGGAGAGAGAGAGACGGGGGAGCAGGAGAAGGAGAAGCGGGCTCCCCATTGAGCAGGGAGCCCAATGCGGAGCTGGATCCCAGGACCCTGGGGTCATGATCTGAGTCGAAGGCCTCAGATGCTTAACCAACTGAACCACCCAGGCGCCCCAGTGGAATTCAGCTTTTTAAGTGAAAATATGTAAGCGCTGCAGAGTACTTTCTTGAATAACCAGGTCCAAAGCGATTTAAAATAAGTTAGGGTTTGCTTTAATATGCCCTGGTGTTTGGGAGGAAGTGAAATATTTTAGCTGTTTTCTTTCATTTTTTAAGGGAGAGGATCCCTCTCCCTGCCCATCAAGAGAAACAAAACTCCAAAATGTTCTTTTCGTGTATTTTCTGGCTGATGAATGATCAGAGGAAGTACACTGTTCTCAGGGTGTATATCAAAGTACCGCCAAAGGGGGCACCATTGTGGTAGAGATGGGCCAGGAACTCTTTACAATAAGCACTGAGTTGAGGGTCATTTCCGACTACTTGCAGAACCTACAACATATGGGACATATAAGGCATATGTGTGTTGTAGACTCAGTAATTTCTGTGTGTGTGTGTGTGTGTGTGTGTGTGTGTAATACATATATATGTATATATATACATATATATGACATATATATATGTGTTTATATATAAACACATATATATATATGATCTTAACCACAACCCCCAGCCAGGTGCTCTGAGTCCTCAGTTCTGCAGCTCTAAGACTGAGGCTTGGGTGGGTTATGTTCCTTGCACAAGTCTGTACAATCTGTTAGTTTCCCAGGTTTGTCATCCCTGTTCTCTCTACTGGATCATCTGGTCTCTTAAGTTCAAGGTTTTGACTGATAGAGAATGGGTTACTGATCTCTTAGTTGAACATTATTTTCCTGTGCCTTAATATTAGGAAAAGAAAGGCAGGAGCGCTGCTCTTTGCCCCTTCATTGTTGGCAGGGGGCGTTGGGGGAAGTACCCACTCACCAGAACCTGGCGCTTTCTTCCCCCCCCATCAGCAAGACAAGGAGAGGCCTCAGTGCTGAGCAAGTCATGTGGCCAGGGCTCCCGTCAATGCCCAGGTGGCCCAGCCATTCAGTAATTAGGTCTCTGGGAGGATTTTAACCTCAGCCGAATTAGAGGCCAAGGATGCTCTCAGCCCCTGTCTCCATGTCACCATGGGCAAATGAGCGGTGAGCTGGGACTCCCATTTCCTCCTCCTGTCTCTACACATGGCCAGACTCCACCCCCATGGGCCAACCATCTCCTTCAACACAATTCCTCTCCTTTCTCTTCCCACCATGCTCACCCCCGCTCCCCGGCCCTACCCAATGGTACAGTTGCCCGCAGGAGTTTCTGGAGAAACACGGGGATAACTTCATTCCTGTAAAAGAGGGTTGGTCTGTTTCTTTTCCCATGCTCTTTCAATATGACGATTCTACACAGGCAAAGAAGTGCTTAATGGTGATCATTAGAAAAATCGTAACTGCTTCCGGGCGTTAATACAAGTCTGATGAATCACTGACCTCTACCTCTGAAACGAATAATATCTTATATATTAATTAATTGAATTTAAATTTTAAAATTAAATAAATAAATAAAATGAAAAAATACATCTTTAAAAAAAAAAAAGAAAAATCCTAAGCGCCTGTCATTGGAAAGAGACATGAGGTTCCTTGGCCCAGCACATTTGTGCTCCAGATGAAGACCAGAGGCCTGGTGAGGTGAACTCGCTTAGCCAGGCTCCCAGGCTCCTCATTGCTAGATTCAACCTAGAACCCTTGCCTTCTGCTTTCACTCCAAAGCTTATAGTCCCTCCTGCTATTTTATGAGACACCAGTTCTGATTCCTGGTGGGTTGTCAGGCACTGTTCTTTGTTGTTGTTTTTTTTTTTTTAAAGATTTACTTATTTATTTTTGAGGGACAGAGCAGCAGCACGGGCAGGGGGTACAGAAGGACAGGGTGACAGACAGAGAATCTCTAGCAGACTCCTTGTTGAGTGTGGAGCCTGACGTGGGGCTCCATCTCACAACCCCGAGGTCACGACCTAAGCTGAAACTGAGAGCCCAACGCTCAACTGACTGTGTCACCCAAGCGCCCCAGACACTTTTGTTTTTTAAGAAATGACAAAGCTATTTGTGTGTGTGTGTGTGTGTGTGTGTGCACGCATGCGTTTGTTCTAAATGAAATAATAATAATAGAAAGCAAATATCAGAAAGTACTTCAAATCAACTGAATTTGCTAGTAGTAATGTGACTTTGGACTTCGTTAAAATCAAAACAAAAATTACTGCACAGATTTTTTAAATTAACCTTTTTTGCATGGTCTCCTTGGAGATAATGGTACCGTTGACTCTTCCTCTAGCATATCTAACCCAAATATATATGAAATAATTCCCTTTAAGAACACTACACTATTTGGTTCCACAGAGGTTGAACTTCAAATTTCTCCCTCCAGCCCTAAAGGCAGAGAGATTCCCGTTGTTTAAGCCTGGTGATGATCAGACTTGCTGGGACCTTGTCAACACAGCGATGGTAACAGTCGCAACAACAGCAAACATACGTACAGGTTATGATGTAACCGGCTCAGTGCTAAGTATTTCACATGCGTTCATTCACTGATTCATCACAGCAGACTTTTGAGAGAAATCCTAACAATATCACCATCAGCAACCAGGGAAACTGAGGCACAGAGAAGTTAAATAATCTGCCCAAAGTCACACAGTTAAGTGATAGAGCCCAATGTAGAGAAGAAGTGTCGTTCTGGGCAAATGCAAATTCGAAAGCTCAAACTACATTTATGGAGTCCCAGGATACCGAAAACTTTTAGCCAGACTGGTTATAATGATTAATGTGATAATCTTTCAGACGTGTTTAATTCCTCGAACACAATTAAATATATAAGCCAAAAAACTCCAGGAAGATAAAGTGTTTGATGAGGCTGGTTTTAGATCCGGAGCTTCCCACTGTAAGCACCAAACATGAACTTCTGTGTCTCCAGGCCAGCCCTGGGGGAATCAGTATGATTAATCTTGGGCATTTTTTAAAAGAGACAGAACTAAATTCCCAGTGCAGAGATGCAAACAATAAAGTTATATAAATGTACTTTAAACCTGTTAGACCAATCGGGAAACAGTCAAGTGGTGTGCAACTGAAGGGAAGGGTTTTTACTTTTAATTAAATGTGTAATTAAGCATATTGATTCTTTGGTCACACTAACTTAAATAAGAGCCAATGAATCTTTCTTTGAAGACTGGTTTTAAGGAAGTATTATTTTCTCTTCAAACGATACCATTTTTAAGAAGACATGAGACATGAGAAGACATGAGACATTGAGAAGACATGAGCTTTGTAGTCCTGCACATCTTGGCCCAACCTTTGGATGCAGAGTTATTCTCCTGAATATCTCTGAAGGTCCCTTCCCACCGGAAGAGGTGGCGGAAGGAGGGCTCCGTACCGCAGTTTGTTCTGCTGAACTCTGAACACACCCTCCTCCTAGAGATGCCACTGCCTTGTTTTAGGCATCAGTATTGGGGAATGGAATGTACAGTTTTTCAAACCTGGATCTCATGTTTAAATTGGGCGTGATTTCTTTTATTTAGCACCTTCTAATTAATAGTTGAGCACTTTATAAAAAGAAAGCACTTCCTTCTAGTTACAAGCAGGAAAAAAAAAAAACCCTTCATTTGCATTTCTCCTGAATATTTAACAGCTCCCTGTCTTAATTTGTTTTTGTTTTCATGTTCTCAATACTGATTTTTCTACCAAGAAAAGCACCGTGTGGAATTTGTCTGTTTCCTCATACGGGTTAACCTTGTTCTCTTCAGGTTATTCCTCAGGCCAGCCCGTTAGTCCATGAGGCTTCTTTCCCACAGTCGCTCCTTAGAGGGTGTCACGTTTGTGCCTCCACGATTTGGCTGGTGGGCCTGAAAAAGAAAGCGTATTCAACACTGTCTCCTCTCCAAACCTCCCTTCCTGTCCCTCACAAGCACAGATTGGAAAGTAGCCATTTCGCACACTTGTCCGGAACTCACATCTGATAACCATGGGGGCATTCATTTGTTCATCAAGCATCTGGGGGCAGGAGGGGTGGTCTGGCTAGAGATGACTCAGGCCCACGGGACACTGGAGACCGCCAGTGTGGAGGAAGCCGGGGGCCATGAAGGACACGCAAGAAGGTGTCTACAGTGTCCACCCTGTTACTCCTGTTTTTCACAGTCCACAGGGCGGCCGGGGTGACCCCAAGCATAGCCGGGTGCATCTACTTCTATGTTAAATAATTTAAAAGCTTGAACTTAGCTTAGAAATTTGGGGAGGAAAAAATTAGGAATAATTCAGTCCTTTAAAATCACGGAATAAGATGAGAAACTGCTTTGACCTGTGCCGAAGGGGAGAGTGGTGCATCTGTGAGTGGCCTCTTGTATTTGAATTTTAAATAACATGCCTACTGTTGTGTTCTGCGTGACAAGGACAGCTTTCAAGCCTGCAGTCTGTGCGGAGGGCCTGCTGGCCAGCCCAGGCAAACGGGCTCCTGGGATCCGCTCGTGTTACTCCACAGCACTCCACAGGAGGGCGACGGAGAGCACAAAATGGATTCCCTCCTCCTCTGAGCAGAGTGGGGCAGCAGAGAGGGCCACCCGAGTTCCCTTAAGGCCTCTGAGGGTGATATGCCAAGCTGCCAGTGGAACACACCGGAAAGGCATGCTATATAGTCGTGAAGTAATTATTTATGATGCTGGACAATTTCTTGGAACTCTTAATAAGAACATGCATGCCCAACTCATGAATCACAGCTAAAGTCCACCATTGTTTCTACCACGGTGTGGACTTCCTCCCCTGCTCATTGCCATGGTGTCTCTCGCCAGCTCTCCCCTGCCCTTGGCCTCTCTGGCACAGGGCTTATCTTTGAGGAAATATTGCCTTTCTCGAGGGAGATAAGTGCGCTTCTGGGTATGAACTTAGTCCCTAAGTTCCCAAGTCCTTAGGTTGATAACAAACATACACATACACCCTGTTCTTATTAATTAGAGAGCAAAGTGCAAAAGTAATTTTGAAATCACCAGTTAGAAAATTTGCTTAACCAAGTTCATTCTACCAAGTAAGAGTCTTTCTTGTTTCTATAAAATGTACTCTTCCTTACCTACCCAACCTTGATTTTGCTCTCCTCCGGCTTGCATTTTCTGCCTCATCTAGACAGCTTACCTCAGTGTCCCCCGATGTGTAGTGTGCTCAACCCCAGCCTTCGTTTTTCACCCTTTCCTGCCTCCCTGAACTGTCTTCCCAGAGTGATTTCCTCTTCCTTCTTTAAAGCCCAGCTCAGGCTCCCTTATTACAACATACCTTCCAGATATGAGTCTCACCAAGGTCCTTCTCTTCTCCGAATCCTTTTGGTCTCGTGTGTGATATTACACATAAACTGTGCAAAAATGCTCTTATGTGTGTAACTCCCATACATTGCCTGAACTGTGTGCTGTTGGTGACAGTGGCTTTGAGCCCCATTTTGCCTAATAAAGTTCTAGACCTACTCTGTGATTGGTTGATCCCTGTGTTGGCTAATGGAACCTATTTTCTTCTTCTTTTCATGGTCATGTTTTAGAAAATGGAAGTTTGCTTTTTCTTTGGATTATCTTTTTATCTGTGGGTTCCTCTCTTTCGTGTGGCAGGTCAAAAAAATTCCAGTCATTTATTGAGAGCTGCTTGGTAAAGAATCACAGCCAGCGACCAGCAACAGAACAATTGATGAAGCATCCATTTATACGAGACCAACCTAACGAACGACAGGTCCGCATTCAACTCAAGGACCATATCGACAGAACAAAGAAGAAGCGAGGAGAGAAAGGTTAGAAGTACATTCGTATCTCAGCAAAGGAAACAAAAGAGGGAGCGGGCCATGGGCTCTCGGTATATTTCAAGGTGGCCGTGGGGGTTTCAGATGGGCCTGCATTATTCTTTCGTGTGAAGGGCTGCCTCTGGACTCGCAGCCTGTAGGCATCAGTGGAGTGAGACTGTGAAATGGAATCTTCATGAGAGGGCAGAACTGTAAGGAATATTCCCTTTTCCAGGCACTGACAAAAAGTCATGTTGAGTTATACTATGAAGTGGTTTAGTATGACAAGTGATTTTCTTAGTTCAAACGAATATTCATGTTGTAAAAACTAAAAATTGACAGAAGACTACCTTAAAAAAAAAACACTTGGTTGACATTTTTCTATAACGGCGGTCTTCAACATATACGTTTTTGTGCTCCGAGGCTTATTTCAAATTTCAGAAATCAGAACGAAAAGAAAAAAAAAAAAAAAAAAAGTCAGAACGAATTTTCTTAGAGTCACAGGGTTGCCAGACTTGGAATAGAGAACATTAATTGAAACTTGAGCTAGAACATCATCTAATGCACTTCTTTATTTTATAGAGTCAAAACTCTTATCTCTTATGGCTCTTGCTGTTGTACCACACTGTCTCCTCAGTGTGTCAGTGGAAAGGACATGAGGCAAACTTGGAGCCCTGGGACTGTATCTTGGTTGTTTGAATAGAGACTCAGACCTCCTTATCTAGCAACCTGACTACGGAGAAAGCTCACATGGTCTGGGGCAGGTTTTACGCCTTGGTGGGTAGGAAGTATGGAAGGTTGAGTTATGGGGAGGAAAGGGAAAGATCCAGATGATAGACAGGTTGAGTCCTCCCTGCGTGGAGGCAGGAGGAGCAGTGGGGATGGGGGAAAGGAGGGGTGACACTGAGGAGACATTATAGGGCTGGCGAGATGAGCACTGAGCATGTGCGGAGTGGAGGGGAAAGGGAAGGCCAGGCACCAAGGGCGCGAGGCACTTGGCCATGTGCTTTTTCTCACTTCTGTCCTGGACGCCGTTCTCTGTCCTTTCTAAGCCAGATGGAGCACTGGAGGGTGGTGGGCAGCACAGGACGGAGGGCACTCCCCTTTTATTTGAATTCCCCTTCTTTGCTTCTGCAGGAAATATGCGATCAGGTTCGACTCAGGAGATTATGAGGCTAAGCCAAAAAGGAGGCCCATCACCTGAACTAATAAAATAGTGTATGTCAACTATACTTTAATTAAAAATAATAATAATAATAACACTCTTAAATGTTTGGGGACCAAAGTATTTTTACTTCAAGTACTAAGTAGAAAATGAAGCTTCATTGGCTATTTTGATTGAACATAAAATTTTTACAGCCCTGGAAAATAAATACATAAATAAAAATCCCAAACAAAACAAAAAATGAAAATAAAGGAGCCCCTTCTCCAGTTAGTCGTGGGCGGAGAGAGATAAGTGTCTGTTAGAAGTTGCTGGGAGGGGAATTGGAGGAACCAGGAAGAACCAGGCATGAGAGAAATAGGTAAATCAAGATCAAAATATTCCAGCACTGGGGCGCCTGGAGGGCATGGTCAGTTAAGTGCCTGAGTCTTGATTTCAGCTCAGGTCATGATCTCAGCGTCATTAGATCGAGCCCTGTGTGGGGCTCCATGCTGAGTGCTGAGGGTGGGGTCTGCTTGACTGAGGGTGAGAGTCTGCTTGAGACTCTCCCTCTCCCTCTGCCCCTGCTCCTCCCACCCCTGCTCCTCTCACCCCTCCAAAAAAAAAAAAAAAAAAAGGTCCAGGACTGATTTTTCATCAAACACGTCACCATTAAAGGCTGACTTCTCTATTCTCTAAAAGGGAAGTTTCTTTTTCCATGGGCCTTTTGCTTCCAGATTCAAATTCTGAGTTCACATTCTAGCTCTACCCCCAAATAGTTATGTGAACTTCATCCCAGTTTTCTCAACTTTAAAATAAGAGAGGGGATATGATAGTGATCAGTATCGCCTGGCAGTGTCATAGATGAAATGAGAGAAGGCATTAAAATATTTAATACAATGTCTGGCATATACACATACTCATTAATATTAGCTATTCTTATATAAACAGTTCTTTATTGACCTATAATTTTTCAGCACAATTCAGAGTACTTTCTGAGGACTCATGACCTCTTTCCCTTTGACCTGTGAGTAGTCTGGGTAAAGCTTGTGCCCTGGGTTGTTTTCACATTTGGTGGGCACAGATGCTAGAATGTGACTCAGAACTCCCCATTCTATGACAATAGACTATTTTTAATGTGTTCCTTCTCTGCAGAGTAGAAGAGTAAGATTCTTGGTAGGAGATGAACTCAGGAGTGCCCCGGTAATGTGAGGACCCAATTCTGTTTGGGTTTGGAGCCATCAGAAGCCTTCTTTTTTGTCTGCTCCCCAGAAAGAGTGTCAGTCAGTTGAGGTCTCATTCCATTTGCTCAGTTTTATCTAATGACTTAATTTATTTCCTCTAATACTTTCTCTCTCTCTTAGTAGCTCCAAGACCAGCTTTTGGTACAATCAAACAATTTTAATGAGAATTGATTTATGATTTTTTCTAACCTGATATTATTTTTTCCTTAAGATATGTGGACATATGCAAATGTATGCCAGTACTATAAAAACAAGACTGAATTCTAGTGAACTATTACAATTGAAGAGGTTGACAAATGAAGGTTTTACCCTGGAGAGTAGAAATATTTGGATTAATTGCATGCTTCTTTCCCTTGCTAGGATTTCCTTTGCTAGATAAAATTTCTGCCTTTTCCTTCAAATTCTCTATTGATTCAGGAAAGTTTGGAATAGTCAACTCTCCGTGTGGAATATCGAAACACTTTATGAAGGTCTTTTACATTTGGTGAAATAATACTCAAAAAATAAGAGGCCCGAAAGCTTCACGCATATTTAAGCACTTGAAGCTAACTTGTGATTTTGAAAAATATACTTGGAGTCAATGTGCTTTGGGCTCCTTTTCACTATCCCTTTCCTGGCTGCAGAGAAGGGAATTGTTCAGTTCTTATCATTGGTGCTGCCGCCTGGTGGTAACACAACCAAATTGCAGTTTTAGTTCCTTTTTAGGGCCGCACCAATGCCTTTAAAGCTGTAATTACTAAGCCACAACTATGAAAGGATCATAGGAATGTGATACCCTCCCTTGCTTAAAATTAAAAGCTCCTCCAAAATTCCCCAAGTCCTCAGCAAGGTATATATAAGGATCAGGAAGTCATATCAGACATGCTGGGCTTACTCATTCCATCAGCTTTTCTCACGGCCAGACATCTAGCCATTCACAACTCATTGTGAACATGTCATGGCCTGTACTATCGTCAGCCTACTCACGTGGTTATGTTGCTTACAATGCCCTTTCCCGCCACTTTCAGCTGCCATCTGCCTGGAACAGGGCCACCAACATTGCAAGTAAGGCCTAGTTCATTTCCTCCTCAAAAAACTTTGCTGGGCCCTTCCCCCACTATGACAAATGGAACTTGCTCTTTTCTCTGGTATCTTACTGCTCTTTTTATGAACTCCTATTTAGCATATAATATGTAGGAGAGAGCACTAGTTTTAAAGTTGAAAAGTTCTGGATGGAATTCTAAATCCAAATCCCAGATCGAGCAACCAGTTTTTACTAAGAAGTCATTGGTCCTATCACTTACCCTCTTGTAATAGTATCTTTGCTTGAAAAGTGGGTAGTGTGTTAAAGGATCGTGAAGCAAAATAAATGAGAGAACATAAGTCAGGTATCTAGTGGGTGACTAGCATGGGAGACACCCAAGAAAGAAAAACTTAATAATCATGGCAGATCTAATGACCTACTTGTCCATCTTGCCCATTAGATTCTGATCTCCTCCAAAGCAAAGATTTAATCTTATTCATTATTACGTGTTAACTTGCTTAACATATTACTGAATTAAATGAATGTCCCCAGTAGGTCATTTAACTCTATATTTCTAATAGCATGCACTGTCAAATTTCTTTCTGGTGAAATCTAAAGACAATTTGTGGGTCCATGTAAGTCATAATAAAACTCTTGCTTTAAAAATGATTAATACAGACAATAAGTTAATAGTGGGCCAACGAAGATTGGTTTAGGTAGTCCTCTAATGGGAATTAACACAAACTGAACAATTATTTTTCAGTTCCTTGTCGTATGAACAGCAGGCATTAGGGACAGATATCTAGAGTCAGCTGGAACAGTCTTTTATGTGAATTTCATGTACTTGAATCCCATTCACCTGGTGGAAACTGTTAGATCACAACTCAGGAGGCCCGGAGCCTGTCCCAGGTCAGCATTAATGACAACTCTTTGGACCTCAGATCACTTAACATAAAGCAAGGGAGGTAGGATTGACTGAGCTGTAGCATCTTCTTGTGCACTAACATTCTGTGAGTCTCTCTTTAGATGAGACCGAGTATGAGTACAGCGGAAGTGAGGAAGAAGAGGAGGAGAATGACTCAGGAGAGCCCAGGTAGGAGAGCAAAAACCAAGTCTTATTTTCACATTCTGAACTGTGCTTGTGTGGAACACACTTCCTTTTGATTTATTGGTTCATTTTTAAGAATCCAGCAAGGTGGTCTTATTTAATTTATTGCCCATGAACATACTCATTAATTTGGGAAAATGTCCCCAGGCAGACTCTTATAAAAATGTGGAAATCAGCGTATTCTTTATCTTGTCCCCTAAGATTTATGGTCTCTATCCGAAGACCTTGTTTCCTCACATACAGAACATGTGGAATGTGTAGGAGACAATTATCTGGATAATGCAAGACTCAAAGGTCCTAAAACTATGACATTCAGGAGACCTAAGTGGTATTTTTGGACTCGAATTATTCAGTTCATTACTTCATACCTTTGAGAAGCCCATGTAGGCAGCCACTGTCCTTGTTGCATGTCTTGGTATTTTCACCACAAGCTAATCTGAGAGGAAATGATTTCCAGGAATTCAAATCACACTCGAGAGGGGAACCCTAAATAGAAAATTTCTTGCTCATTCCAGTTGTCACATATTGGACTCCCAGGATCAATGTCGCTTTATCGTTATGATCCGTGCCTTTCGAATTTCACTTGACATTGATTCCGACTTCCTTCCAGTCTGTTTATGAATAAATAAGGTTAGTGTGCTCACATTGCCAGGATTTCTCTTCCATAAGAGAGGTCAGCTGGTGGCAGTTTGGTGAGTTGAGATGCACAGGCATATGCACCGTGGTCAGTGGCCTACACTTGGGAAGTGAGGTTTATTGGGGGAAATGCACAAGCAGGAGGCTCACTGGGGGAAATGGGTCCCCATCCGCTCGCCATCCAAGGAGGAGACTCTGGTGCTCCGGGAGGAGTCATTCCCGTACTACTGAGGCAAAGCTGCCTGCCCAGAAAAGGGGCCAGCTCAGTCCTTGCTGCTAGAAGAAGCTGGTGTGTTCTTTTTCTGAGTGAATTCAGATCTACGAAGCTGAATTATTGCTCAACTACTAGAAGGCGGAGGGACATACAGCGCCATCCAGTTTTTCTCTACACCTGCTTACGGGCATTTTCAAGGTCAAAGACTGAAGGAGTATTTTTCCCTCCATCCGATGCTTTACACATTGGCTGCCCCCAGTTTAACTCCATAAAGACGATGTTTGTCAAGTAGTGACATAGAAAAGGAACATTCTTATAAAGGCAGAGGACCAAATGCCCTGCTCTCAGAGAAGTTGCTTGCTACTCTTCTTTTTCCAGAGCCCATCCAGATGTCTTGTCAGTCCTACTGATCACCCTCTGCAGAACTGAGAAGCCCTGCTTTAACTAGTACTTGCCAAACGGCATGTTAGGAGTCACTTAGCGAGCGGGCCAAATCGTGACTTAACACTTCGATAATTGTAACGTGTCATTATATCACATTGAAGATTATGTTCCAAGTCCTGTCTTATGGACTCATGTAATTAATCTTCATGAAATCCTGGAAGTAGAAAGGGACAGTGGTTATCTCATTTTAGAAATGGGGTAAGAGCCCAAAGATGGCGCCCAAGCCACACACCAAGTTAGTGATTGAGCCACTACGACAGCTCCAATCGCCTGACATTGATTCAGCATTGGCTTATATTAATGGAGCCTCCTGGTGTACGTGGTTCCCCACGTGCCACCATCAGTCCACAGAGCTTGTGGCACAGGTACATGAGCACTGTCACTTGGGGTTTGTTTGAGTGTTCTACACAAAAGCTGGACATTTTAGAGGACATGTGCTCATGGAATCCAAGCACTCTCTGTAGGACCTCAAGAACGAAGCCTTTTTATGTCATCGTGGGCATAGACGGCAGTCACGCAGCACGGTGGTTACACTGTCCGACCCAGAATGATCCCCTTGTCAACTGCCACCAAACCTGCTCCCCCCGCCATTTGCCTCCCCAGTTGACGTCCCCACCACTGTCCAGGCACCAAGACAAAACCTGCAAGTCACCGCTCGCTCCACACACCGCACCCATGAATAGGCTTCATGAACTCCGCCACCTTTGCTTTTCTCTGCCTCCCTCCCCTTGCCCCGCCCCACCCCCCAGAGCCGCTGCAGGAACAGCCTAGCTGGTGGCCTTGTTTGACCTCTGCCCTCTGCAGACAGTTGTCCCTCGGCAGCCAAACACATCCCATCACGTCGGTCTCCTGACTATAACCTTTCTGTGCAGGGTTTCCATGCCACGTGCCTCCCCGGGGCTGCCCAGGGTCCCTGGCCTCCTACCGGGCCACCTCTATCCTTCACTCTGCTCTGGGAAGTCCTCAGAGAGGCCCCACCTGTTCCCACCACAAGCCTCTCTACGTTTGCTTTCCTCTCTGCCAGCAAGATTCCTCCCCTACCTCTTCGTGGGACCGGCTCTTCATCCTTTGAGTCTCAGCTCATCTGGTACCTTCTCAGGGAGGTCTCCCCCGATCACCCCATCTGAAGCACAACCCTTCATCCCCACCCCAGCCTCCTGCCACTGTCACTCTTAAACTATCACATCTTCTATAGAGCCTGTTCATGTATGAAATTGTGTTATTTGTAGTCATTTGTCTAATTATTTGTCTGTCTCTCTTTCCCACAAAAAGATAACAAGAGAGAGAGTTTGTTTAGCTCCTACTCTCGTCATGAGAGCCCATTACAGAGCCTGGGACCTAGAAGCGGCTCACTAGTTATTGAATAGATTCGTTTCAGATGCAAATTGCCAGAAAGGTTAGAAGGGCTAGGTTTTCGGGAACAAATAGGAGACTGCCCCACCTCCCTGTTAGGCTGCTGGGCACAACCAAAGACTAACTTTGAGTTGTCCACATGCAGTGAGATGTGAACAGGGCAGCCCTGGACCACTAGGAAGTAGGTGGAGTGTCTTTATGGTGTTTTCTGTCCTCCTTCTTTCTGTTTCTCTCTCTCTCTCACTCACACACACACACACACACATGCACGTGCACAAATGGGCATGATGCACAACTACCATTTTACAGATGAGAAAACCGAGACCCACGGTGCTTCACCGGAATCTAGGAGTCCGTGAGCTTGAGTTGAAGTCCTGGCTACACTGTCTATTCCAGAGCCAAACCGTGTCACATCTCTTTAACCGTGATGCCGTGAAACCGGCCCTGAATGCTCAGACTTTGGCAGGCGTAGGTTCACATTCTACTCCGCGGTCACCTTGACTCAGATGTGTTCCCTCCCTGGCTTATCATGTCTTCACAGGAGCAGCCTGCCCTTTGCCTCCCGGAGTCGGGTGCAAGGGGTCACGGACGTGGTGCGGGGACGGGGATGTCCTCTTAGTAGAACGCGTTCCCTTGCATTTGGTGGCTTTGTTCCTGCCCTTCTTAAACATGCAAATTCGGCTGATCCAGGCCCTAGGGCTCGCACACTCAGTAAAACCGGTAGAAGCAGATCTTTACATGTCCCAAGGGTGAGCGAGCTGTGTGGATGGTGCTGGAGAGAGGTGACATCTCTCTGGGGATGGGGACAGCATGTATCTGCCCACAGTCACACTGAAAAGAGGCGGCGCACTACTCTGTTGTTCCCTTGACTCGGTTTCTCTGGGGCTGAGTATTGTAACAGAGGGTCTGAGAGCTCTGGCGGGGTGTGTGGCTCCCGTTACCACCTCGAGGCGACCTGCTTGCCTGGCTGGTCTCCCCCAGCACCCGGGCACCAAGGGTCCTTGCCCCCTGCAGGACCCCCACCTTTCTCCCTCTCCCGCCTGCAGCTCCATCCTGAACCTGCCGGGGGAGTCCACGCTGCGGCGGGACTTCCTGAGGCTCCAGCTGGCCAACAAGGAGCGTTCAGAGGCCCTGCGGCGGCAGCAGCTGGAGCAGCAGCAGCGGGAGAACGAGGAGCACAAGCGGCAGCTGCTGGCCGAGCGCCAGAAGCGCATAGAGGAGCAGAAGGAGCAGCGCCGGCGGCTGGAGGAGGTGAGGGCCCCCCCACCCCGGGGCCACCGCAGGACCCCATGCTTCCCGGCTGTGTCACCTATAGGGCATCCTGGGAGGTGCTGGGGTCCCTGCCCTGTGTGGGGCCACAGCCCACGGGGAGCACACACCTTAACGTGCAAAGGGGGAGGAGGCCTGAGCGCTCTTACAAAGGAAGGGCGTCCCTTGCTTGGCACAGGGCGGCCATGGGACCTTGGTGGGACCTGACCTTGGTGTGGTCATCTCACGGGTAAAGGCCTCCACCCCTTCAGGTCTTACTCAGATATCACCTCCTACGGGCAGCCTCCTGGAGCACCTTGCTTAAAATTGCTCCCCTCCCTCCAGCACGTCCCGTTGCCCTTCCCTGCCTTATTATTCTTCTGTAGCTCTTACCACACTCCCTGTGCACCTTCCTGTGTCTTACACTGGGGTGTAAGTGCCTGAGGACAGAGGCTTTTGTCTCTCTTATCCTTGATGCGTCTCTGCATCATCAATCTCTAGTGCCTAGAACAGGGTCGCACACACAGCAGGTGCCTTGGGGACACTGGTGGACTGCACGGACTCATACAGGAATACATGAGTCCATGACTAAGGTCATGTGTCGTGTCAACCAGACCACAATGACTGGGCAGGCAAGTGAGGTGTCAAGTATGGAAAAACAGGGTCTGCCTTAGCTACTCCTCTGGACATTGGGGAAAGCATATCCCAAGGCCAGCCATGCACCCTTTGGTCCTCCAGATGGAGGGCCCCCCCTGGCCTTCACTGGTGGGCGTTCTGCCATCTGTGTGGACAAGCATAGCCCTGGCCACCCTTGTCCTGGCTGAGGCCCTCACCCCTATGGCCGTAGAGATGTTTGTTAAAGCCGCTTTCCTTTGTTGGATAAATGAAAGCCCCTACACAATTAGGCAGCTGAGAGCATTACTCTTGGGAAAGCGGGATACAGATGAGAGGTAAACCAACGGCCCAGGAACAGGGTAGCCATTTTACAGCGTGCCCAGACGCCATCTTGCTCCATGTTAACAGTCTAGGGCGATTCACTTGCTTTGTCAGGTGCCTCTGCCATTGGAGGCTGGTGGATTGCGGGCACCAGGGGCAGACTGCTTTTTAACTGGCCCATCCAGGTCCAGCGTCCCTGGTTGAAATCAGTGAGGGGCTCCGTTCCAGTTTGCAGTAAAATCTCATCAACCTCATATCTCCTCATAGGGAGACCAGCAACAATAAAGACCCAACAGTTGCAATTATTAGTGACTTCAGGGCGCCTGCTCCTGGGTAAGGTTCTTTGCTTATACCCAGGATCTCATCTACTATCACTCTCTCTTTGCATATAGCCATTGCCCCTCATGCAGAACCTATACAAACCCCACTAAACACAAAGGAAACCGGAGTTCAGGGAGGGGAAGTAATTAGCCCCATGTCCCGGGTTCACACACCCAGGTCTATCTGATCTCAATGTCCACACAAGCCCCAAGAAGGCAAGTATAGATAAGTAATCAAAGCCTTGAACTGCGGTCCTCAGAGTCGCACCTCGCAGGCTTCTGCATGCAGCAGTAGGCAAGCGAAACCATTTCCAGTTTAAGTTTTAAGTGTCGTATTGTCAGGGCGAAGAATGCTCAGTGCATGGGAAGTTTGAAGTTCACCATCTTCTATTGTGAGAATGACACTGTAGTCGGCACAGTCCCCGTAGTGCTGTGGGGCAGAGACCTTCAAAGGCCCAGGCAGAGGCAGCGTGAAGGGAGGGGTGGGTGCTAATTCAGCAGCACTCAGAAGTGGGGCTCAGAGGTCAGCGGTGCACCTGCCTGCCCACCTCTGGCTCGTCTCCTGGGCACAAATTGAAATTCTTCACGGCTGTGTCCTGGTGTCCTCTGCAGCCAGCCACGCCAGCTGGGGCTCCTGGAACGAGCCCTCGACCCAGAGCTGTGCCATATCCTCCAGTTCTCCTGAGAACCATATGCTTCCGCTGGTTGGACCCCCACGTTTATTCCTTTAGACTCTGGCCACACCTCTCTCCTCACCTAAGCAGTGTCCTATCAGGCTCTGCCCCATATCCTGCCTTTCCTGCTTCGTTCCTTGTGGTTTGTTCCATCCAAGAGTATTTCTGAAGGTCACCACCTGCCTGGAGCTTCACACCCTGAAAACCCTGACCATTTGCCTTGGTTAGTTCGCTCCTCACTTAGCGATGTGTTACCCTTACTTTCAAGTTAAAGGCACTTACCATGTAAATCCTAGAAAATGCCCACTGTCATCCCACAGAACATCTCAGATACTCAAGAATGTAAATGTGCCTGTGCGTGCACACACGCTTATGTGCATTCCCTTCTTTTTCTTTTTTCTTTTTTTCTTTTTTAATTTTAACATAAGAACTTTTGGCCCTTGAGCCTAGATCGTCAACTAATGCAAAGTCTTTTCAGGGGATGCCTTGCATTATTTGTTTTGTTTTGTTTTCATCTATATTTTCGTCCCTTCTTACCTGATATGATTTATTTGGGCTTTTTGTTTCTTCATCAAGTTGCTAAAATAACAATTTCTAACACTGTCCAAAGCATTTAACCTGTGACAGTTACTCTGTTCCACACTTTACCTGAATCATCTCATTTAATCCTCACAATAACCCATCATCTCAGAATAATGCAGCTGAGTCTCAGAGAGGTTATTGACTTGCTAGAGGTCACACAGCTTAGGGGAAAAACGGGTTTCAAGCCCAGGGGATCAGACTCCAGAGCCCGCTGTCACTGCCTCCAGCCTGCCTCTGATAAGCCAGTCATGTTTTCCCGTATTCTCTACCTGGCCTCTGCTTCTGCGGGTCTTTTCCTCTGAGAACTTGAGGATTTTTGTGCAAGAGCAAAGAAGCAGCCCCCAGCAGGTGCTCTTCTTTGAGATGGGTTCTGGCTCTCGTGACCCCCATCAGAACTGCGGCCAAGGCCTCCTCGTGTCTCTTCTGTGGCACTCTCTGGAGTTTCTATCTTGGAGGCGAGTCAGCGTTCAGACTGAGCCGGGCACGCACATTCACGGGGACATACCCGCTGAGTCCCCATTTGCACCGAAGGCAACAGCACGCCCAAGGACACTTTGCTTTAGGAACCAACATGCATGAGCCCCAGCTTCTCATCGGAAGCAGGGACCCTTGTGACCACCGGGCATGAAGACATTATACCGGCTTTATCTGTTGACCTTCATCTTGCTCCTATCACCCACTAGGACGAAGAAGAAACACTAAACGCTGCGATGGCTGTAAATTCTGAACCCATAAGTAATAACTGTCCCCGCCACCAGGGACTCCCCTCCAGCATCCTGCCACTGCTGGGTCCCCATCCGTGTGTGCTGCCCCTGGCCCACGGGGATGACTTGTGTTTATGGTCTCCAGAGGAGGAACTTGACCTACCCCGCTCGTGGCAGTGGTTAAAGTCCCCAGTCAGACTTGCACATTTAGCTTCCCTGTGGGTACCTAGCAGGTAGGCATCCTGCGAAAACCATTTCCATTCTCCAGTAAAGGCCCATGAAACACCCCTTTGGTGATGCAGGGCTGTGTAGGTTGTAGCCTTTGTCTTCCCCAGCGATCTCAGATGTCCCCTCCTACCGGAGGTCAGTTTCTAAGGAAGCCCTGCATGGCCTTTGCTATTTATGAATAACCATGTGGATTTGGGTAGGTTCTGAATCAGTGTCTATATATTCTTAGGAGGACTTTGTATACCAGATATAGCCATTTATCAGCTACATGAAAAGGACGTGGCTTCAGACCAATGAAATGTTGGGTACGAGACGTTCAGCTTTTGACCTCTGATAAAGTACAATTTATAACCAAGGTCCAGGGAATTGATTAAACCTAGCTAAGGTGAATGAGTCCATCCATAGTGAGAAGAGTACAAAGAAGGCCTCTTTTATTTTGATTTAGTTCAATAAAAACTTCGATCACTTGGCCTACACAAAGTTCCTCTTGTTTTAGTCTCCCTCACAGAGTTAGGGTCCAAGAATCAGGGGCAGGGTGCAGGAGAGGAGGCCAAGAATCAGTAAAGCATTTACCCTGGTCATCATTTCAGACAAACTTTGGCCAGAAGATTTGTGGTGATGCTTAACTGTGCTCAAGAGTTTGGAAATGATTTTAGTGATTTATACATTTTTTTTTTTCAACCCTCTGAGAACATTCTATGCCTTCATTTGGAGGAGAATATCTTTAAGTCACAGGAATAATCAAATTGACCGCACGGGCACCAAGGTGCTCAATGGTGGTAACTTTTATTCTTCAGAGAATTGTGCTAAGTTTTTCAAGCTGCCTGCGTCTCCTTTGGTGCCTTTCAAGACCGTCTTAACATCGGCCAGTTATAGAAACAGCCAGTCCTAGCTCAAAGACACTATACTGCTTTGGTTCTATTACCTGAAAAAATTTTTAAAGAAATACAACAGTATCTTATTAGCCAGTCAGAGCGGAGCACTAATATAAAAAATGAGAGCCTAGCAGTCTCAATGTAGGTGAATTCCCTATAAGCCTCTAACTTTTTATCATGAGTGGCTGGGCTTTCAAGGACACTGGGTTCAACTGCCTTTTAAAAAGGGCACAGTAAAGGGGTGCCTGGGTGGCTCAGCCTTTAAGAATCTGCCTTCAGCTCTGGTCATGATCCAAGCGGGGGATGGAACCCCACTCAGCAGGAAGTCTGCTTCTCCCTTTCCCACTCCTCCTGCTTGTGTTCACACTCTCCCTGTCTCTCTCTATCTCTGTCAAATAAATACATAAAATCTTTTTTAAAAAGATTTATTAAAAAAATTAAAAGGGCACAGTAAAATTAAAACATTTTTCCTCTTCCTAAAGGCAGTCATTCAACAAATGTCATGAATTCATACCTCCGCTGTGCTGGGTACTAGGAATCCAGTCTGTCCTGGTGCTCACCAGATCTGTGCGAGAAACAGGCACTGAACCAGTAGTTGACCCAAATAGCCATTCATTATCATTGCCAGGTTGCTGTTGTAGAGAGGAACGGCGGGCTAAGGAACGAGTTTGGGGAGGGTGCGGG